TGCAATAAGAACTCACAGAAACAAAGGTGTGGTTCCCTGCCTTTCCTTCTCAGCCACTGACTTCTGTTAACAGTTTCATTATGCTGAACTTGTGATGACTGTAATTCTCAAGTTTACGACTGGGATTCTGTCCTTGAAGTCTTCATTGAGGTTTGGTTGAATTTATTTATCCTGGTGCTTAAGAAGGGTCCACAGTCTTAAACTATCCACCTATTAAGTTGGACAGCTTAATAGGTCACATTTATTGTTTTATTCTTTCATTTCTTAACATATGTGCTTGTCAGTTACTAATGAAGTGTTTTTGGGCTTCTAGGTTTATAAGAAACTCAAGTTACTTATTCCACTGTTCTGCCTTCATTTTCTGCTTGATCACCCAGGATGGAAAAAGAAATAGTGACTGACTGAAGGTGACAGAAAGTTGTGTCATGAACCGAATTCTTGCATTATGGATAAATCTGGTAGTTCTTGTTGGTTCAAGTTAGTAATAGGGCAGTTCTTACTTTGTGATATATGAGGTGATTCAGTCCTTCTCCTTCTGTTTCTTTCACTCCTTAGGACTTTGAGTCTAAGGAGAGTATTTTTCAGATCTCCTTTAAGAGCTGATGCTTTGAGGTTCAGCAAGATCTTTATGGGCAGTTTACCTTGGTGGACACCAAACTTTTTTTTTGAAAAGGGAACATATGGTTGCTAATCAATTATCCATTTGAGTTATGCCATTTTTTTTCTGGCTGTCCATTTGTAAATATTAAAAGATTACAATTTTCTAATTCATATTTAAAGTAAGAGTTTTTGCTGGCATCATTTAGGGAACCACTTTACATGATTTATTAAGATGGAAAGGAGAAAAAATTGAATTGAATTTAAATTATTTTCATCCATGTTGTTAGTATTCTTTCTATGGGATGTATGTGTCTTTCATGAAAGAATCATTGTATCAGATTAAGCAGTTTAGGCAGTTGGAAATAAGGAAGAAAAGGACCCATCACTTTGTGCATTGTATTTATGTGATAGTATGATGAGAGCCTCTAGGGAAGATAGATACTTGGGTGGTGGGCATGCCTTTGCTCCCAGCACTCAGGAGCCAGAGGCAGGAGGATCTCAAGTTGGAGGCCAGCCTGGGCTACATAATGAGACCCTGCCTCAAAATAAAGATAAGACAAACAAAAAGATACTTGGCATTGATAGACCAGTCATGTAAGAATATAGAGCAAATTGATAGGAAAACCAGGAACAAGAAAGAGAATTCAAGGCTGTAATCCTAGCTACTCAGGAGGCAGAGATTAGGAGGATCTTGTTTTGAAGCCTGCTCTAGGCAAATAGTTCAGGAGACCCTATCTTGAAAAAAAAATCCATCTCAATAAAAAGGGCTGATGGAGTGGCTCAAGCAGTAATAGTGCCTGCCTAGCAAGTGGCAAGTGTGAGACCATGAGTTCAAACCCCAGTGCCACAAAAAAAGGAAAAAAAAAAAAAAGAATTCAAGATGGTTTCTTGTTCTTGTGTCTGTTTCTGGAAGCTCCCAAGATGCTTCACAAATATGAAATGAGTGGAAGTAAATTGCCACAGGGGTGAAGAGATAAAGCCCTAGATTTCTGAGTGGAAAGATGACAACAGGGAATTCAAAGATGAATGAAAATAGCTGAGTAATAGTAAATTAGAGAAAAGAATGTTAAAATGGGGAGTGCATTTTGTGGAATGTTCTTGTGGCATTCTTACAGGTAAATGCAGGAGAGCTACCCTTGAGTTGACTTCGAGCAGCAGTTGGATGGCCCATGGTGTTCCTCTCATAAAACTAAGTTAGCAGTTCTCTTCAGTACATTTTAAACATGAGGTGATGCTTGGAATACTTTCCATGCAGAAGTCTTGGTGCTTACTATTTTTGATCAATACAGAAAACATAAAGTGGTCTCTACAGCAGTACAGAATTATGAAAGCTATTTTAAGTTTAATGGGTCAGGTCTTTACTGAGATTCACAAAGAGCTCTGTGGCTTCCCTCAGCTCAGCTCACCTCAAGGTACAAGTATGAGAGCTGCTGTCAGCAGTGTTAATGAAACAAAGCCCCCGTGGGACCAGTTTAAGAGAGGGGTGTGCAGGAGTTTCTGACAACAAATCTAGGAATTGTGTCCTGTAAAAAACAGTTCTTATTATGTTACTCTTGTTGATTCCCTGAGGGCTGGCAGCTTATCTAACAGTTTTCTATTCTGTATAGAAGAGTCTTATTGCTTTATCTACTCACCTTACCGGTCTTTAGAAAGAAGCCATCTGTGGGGGAAGCTCCTGTGAAGTGGAATTGTGTGACTGACACTAGTGTGGAGACAGCCAGGTTTAGGATAGCAGCTGAGAGAAGGACAAGTGGTTTGTTTCCTTTTGTGAAAATATCCCTGCTCAGTTTCTTGAACTAATTTCTTCCCAAAAACTTTCTCTTGAACTATATCATGTGAAGAATTTGCTTTTCTGAGCGGATCCAGGCAATTAGATGAGTAATAAAGATTGTCAGTTCTGGTCGGCCATATTGATTTTTAAAAACTGTCCTTGTTTGGGGGAAAATAATTAATCCTGATGATTCATGTTCATATTATAAGTCTGGCATATATATAAGCTTTAAATTGCTCAGTATTTCAATAAGTGTATGTATTACGTAGGCTCAGATGACAGAAGGCCTAGGGAGGGCTGGTTGGAGTGTGTCTATAGACTAGACTATAATGGTGGGAATTAAAAATGAGCTGTCTACCTTATAAAATTTGCTTCTTTTCTTTGAACCAAGTTGTAAATGTTTAGCAGAGTACCAATAGGCATTTTTGGATAAAAAGTTAATAATTTCAGTTTAATTAAGAGGTAAGTAGTGTGGGAGTTATGTGAAATGGAAAGGGCAGAATGGAAATTCCCTTTTTAGGTTAAAATTTGGTAGAAGGTTCTGATGCTAGAAAGTGATGACTGGCAGGGTATGGTTCATAAATTTAGCACATTATTCTAAGAAGTGGAGGTGGCAGGCTAAAAACTTGGGGTCTCAAAAGACAGCTTGCCTTGGAACAGAGTTGCAAAAAGCTTTTAAACATAGGTTGGAAGTTCAGTAAGTGTTGGTTTCTCTGTTCTCTTTCCATACTGCAAGAGGAAGTGATAATAGCTCTCCATTGTGCTTAACCATATGTGGGTGATGGTGCTGCTCTCCGGATGGTTAGGTTGGAAAAATTAGCTCCTGCAATTCAAGCCATTCAGCAAATACTTACTTAGTTGATATGGATATCTAAATAGCTAAACAAATGACTAGAAAAAGAAATATCTTCATGCAAGGTTTTGTGTTAGATGCCATGAAAGCAAAGCGGTATGAGGTACCAGCACTTCCTCCAGGAGCTTAGGGGTCCCTTGGGGTGAAAGTGCACACACAGGAAACAGCCCCAGTGCAGGGCACCCAAGAGCTGCCATGTGAATAACAGCAAAAACAAAGAACTCCAAAGAGGAGCAAACCCCTGATGGGGGAGCTTCATTCAGGAGGTGACTGCACAAACCTAGACTTTTTTTTTTTCCTTTTATTATTCATATGTGCATACAAGGATTGGTTCATTTCTCCCCACTGCCCCCACCCCCTCCCTTACCACCCACTCCGCCCCCCCCTCCCCCCCCCAATACCCAGCAGAAACTATTTTGCCCTTATTTCTAATTTTGTTGAAGAGAGAGTATAAGCAATAATAGGAAGGAACAAGAGTTTTTGCTGGTTGAGATAAGGATAGCTATACAGGGCATTGACTCACATTGATTTCCTGTGCGTGGGTGTTACCTTCTAGGTTAATTCTTTTTGATCTAACCTTTTCTCTAGTTCCTGGTCCCCTTTTCCTATTGGCCTCAGTTGCTTTAAGGTATCTGCTTTAGTTTCTCTGCGTTAAGGGCAACAAATGCTAGCTAGTTTTTTAGGTGTCTTACCTATCCTCATCCCTCCCTTGTGTGCTCTCGCTTTTATCATGTGCTCATAGTCCAATCCCCTTGTTGTGTTTGCCCTTGATCTAATGTCCACATATGAGGGAGAACATACGAGTTTTGGTTTTTTGAGCCAGGCTAACCTCACTCAGAATGATGTTCTCCAATTCCATCCATTTACCAGCGAATGATAACATTTCGTTCTTCTTCATGGCTGCATAAAATTCCATTGTGTATAGATACCACATTTTCTTGATCCATTCGTCAGTGGTGGGGCATCTTGGCTGTTTCCATAACTTGGCTATTGTGAATAGTGCCGCAATAAACATGGATGTGCAGGTGCCTCTGGAGTAACAGTCTTTTGGGTATATCCCCAAGAGTCAAACCTAGACTTTGATGTCCAGTGGGATTCAGGGAAGCATTAAGGAAGATGGAGGATTTGATCATGGAGAATGGTGTGTTCTGAGGCAGAGAGGGATGTTAGTGGCAGAATCTTCTGACAAGTAGGTCTTAATCAGAGAAGTCTGGGAGGGAGGTAGAGAGAGAATACTAGAAGTCCATGGGAGGCAGATTTGTGGGTCCAGGGACCGCCCGCCCCCAAGTGAAAGGGGTGATTTTGGAAGATTTGTGGAGTTGAGGTTCACAGGATGGCTTGAAGGGAGTAACTAGGGAGCAGAAACCCACCGAGAAGCTGAGGCAACAGCGGAGGTAGATAGTGAAGAAGGCCTGAGTATGTGTGTGTTTGGGGGGAGGAGGTGTGAAAGTATAAATGAGAAGGAAAGAAATGGAATCTAAGCACGTTAATAATATAGTGAACAAAACTCCAGTCTTTTTGTTGTGGTTCTGTTAGCTGTGCTCTCTAGGTGGGGAGCTGTTCAAAATGGAATGTCCATTCTGTTGAGTGTTAATCAGATCCTTACACTGAATGAGAAGGAGGCTAATCCCATATGGCTCTGACTCAAGATTTAAACTCATTTTTAGTGTGGGCATTGCCTGGGTAGGCCTGCCACTGTTGCATGTGTTTTGGTGTTTTGGTACAAAGGTTTCTATTTGATTCTAATCCCCTCCCCTTTTTTTTCTTTTCAAACAGACCCTATCCAGAAGAATTTCCAATCCATACCTTGAACATACTCCTTCCCAGGTATGACATCTTGTTTCTTTCTCTTGCTACATTTTCTATAATGGTGGCTCACAAATCCTGGTGCAAATTCTTTGTGGTTCCTGCTCTCTCTGACCTAATGGAGTTTTGCTGGGATGTTGTGGTGTTCCATGTGTGTACCCCACCAGAGATGACACAGCCAAGGTATTTGAATTAAGATCATTGTCATAATTCCAGATGTTCATGAGCTAGGAAAAAATATTGACCTACTTTCCACATTTTATAGTATGACCGAGTGGTTCAAGTGGTAGAGTGCCTTCCTAGCAAGTGGGAGGCCCTGAGTGCAAAACTCCAGTATCACAAAAGAAAACAAAACAAACAAAACAAAACAAAAACTTTGACGGTTTTCTACATTGATAGTAACATTGTATTTTACAAATAGTGGGAGCTCTATAAACTTTATGTAGGAGGAGATATAAACACAGAATTATCTATTGGGACTACCTGTGTGCTCATTGAGGGGAAAAGATGAGTATGTCTTCGGTTGCACTACAACCGAATTATTGACAATTATTTCCATTCTTTACACTAACAGGATTCTGAGCTTTGTGAGGACAGGGCCTTTCTACCTTGTTCACTAGCATCTAGCACAGACCCAGCACTTGACAGCTGCTTATTAAATGCTTTTGACTGACCAGGTGAACGAACTAGGACTAGTTAAGCATCAGCTAAATCATACCTCTTCCTCGGGAACTTTCTGTCATCTGGCTTGTTGAGTTTTGATTTTTTACAAAAAAAAAAAATTATTCCAAGATATTAAAAATAGGGCTGGAAGTATAGCTCAAGCAGTAGAGTACCTGCTTTGCAAGGTCAAGGCTCTGAGTTCAAAACCCCATAATGGAAAAAAAAAAAGATATAATTAAAGAAGCATGAGGACAGGGTTGACATATTCCTGTCAAGTCACAAACAATATATTATCAATTTGTTTGCTTTAAGAGTAGATACAAAATATCTTGCTGGTGCAAAAAGAGTTCATCCAGAACACTTATGGTATAACTCAGTGGTGCGAGTTTTTACCTAGCATGCATAAAGCTCTGGGTTTGCACCCCAGTACTGCAAAAAAAAAGTTCACCAAGAAACAAGTAGAAAGATGTAAGCATGCCACCCCCAACAGATAGCAATTTCTATGAGAGTTTACCTTGTAAAAGCGGCTTTCCATTTAGCCTCCTTTGCTTGTGAAGCTGCATTGTGCAATTGGAGATTGTTTTATAAAGTAGGAACCAGACCTCTATAACTGAGGAATATCCTCCTTCATCTCCAAGAGTCAGAGACTAATAGTAGAATTAGAAGATTAGAAGCAGTTAAATGAAATGTTATCTGATTGATGGAATTGTGAAGTCCATGAATGAAGTCCGGGAGCTTGGAACTAGTTGTGACCTTAGCAGCTGAGTGAGGTTCAGAGCAAAGAAGCCTGCACTCACACTGTGTCATGGCTCAAGACATTCATTAAATAGGAAAAAAATTATTTTGCCATCTTCTAATACTTTCTATAAATGCATTATCAACATGGCAGTTATTATATAATAAATATTCCTTAATGTGCTGCAGTGGTAGAAACACTGTGTTTAAAAAATAGTGGATATTTTACACTGAAAACTTTGTGTTTTAAAAGGGGATTATCTATAATTATAGTTAAAGTAAAGCACTTTAGCATTTGAAAAATAGTTATTATAGCTTAATAGCATAAGTGGACCAGTAGCTAAAATAAAATAAGGTAATTATAGGTCTGTAGCTACATAGGCTAAAGTGTGTCTCAAGCTTGAGGATTTGGTCATGATTTTTTATATATATAGCATGCTGTAGGGAGCTCACAAGTTGCCACGTTATTGCTCTACATTTGCAGTGAATGTTTGTCTTTTCCATTTAGATTTATGGAGAGAATTCTTCTTGTGCAGGAAGAGCGTTGAGGAATATGATTATCGTTCAGGCAGCCGACCTGGTAAAGGACAGGGTGAACCTCAAGGGATTTTACAGGTAATACACTTTCTCAACACCTTGTCAAGAATTCTCCTTGAAAAATCACTTCTCCTTGAGGAAAAAATAAAAATATACATAAAATAACCAACCAGCTTGTGATGTTGAGCACGGAGAGGCAGGCTGCCTTGGTACCCACAGTGGGAGGGGTTGGTGTGTTCTGTCTGCTGGGGGGTCCTGGGGTAACTCTTCTTTTGTTAGCTTTGCTGTATGTTTGCTTACTGTTAGGCTCCTGGTTCTGAAGTTATGGTATGAACTTTTCAGCCACAGATGTGGGCTCTGCTCTGCTTCCCCTGAGATACAATCATTTATAATATTTTTTGGGGGACTTCAAGAAGTGTAGATCTCCTCTTTAGGGACCTTGTCAAAGCTCTGTGAGGACTCTTGGAAGGTCTGTGGGCAGAGAGATCCAGGCTGACCTCTAGGTAAGAGCAAGCCTCTGGCTAGGCTGAAGTATAGAAGTGGGATGGCAGTCACCTGTATGGGCTAGTGAACAAGCAGAGATGCATGATAGTAAATGAGTGGACCTTACTGTGGCTCAGCCCTATAATCCCAGCTACTTGAAAGTTGGGAATTGGAAGGATAGAGGCTTGAGGCCAGTTGAGACAAAAAGTTAGTGAGACCCCCCCACCTCAACACATAAACTGAGTATGGTGATGCACCCATCTGTAGCCCCAGCTATGAAAGAAGTGTAGGTAGGAGGATCTTGGTTCAAGGCTAGCCCCAGGCAGGAACATTAGACCCTATCTGAAAAAAAAAAAACGAAAGCAAAATGGGCTGGGTGGTGTGGCTTAAGTGGTAGAGTGCCTGCCTAGAAAATGTGAGGCCCTGGGTTCAAAACCCAGTACACCCCATCGCCTCACAAAAAAGAGTAAATGAGTGGGCTTGTGGCCAGTTTTAAGGACTGGCTGAACCAACAGATTATAGATTACAGATTTGGCAGTGCTGAGAATTGAACCTAGGGCTTTACACATGCTAGGCAAGTCCTCTACCACTTAAGCTATGCCTCTAGCCCTTTTGTTTATTTATTTATTCATTCATTCATTTATTTTAGGCAGGGTCTTGTCACTACCTTTCCTAGGGTAGCCTGGGACTTGTGATCGTCTTCCCTCTACCTCTCAAGGGGCTGGGATTATAGGTGTGACCTCCATGCCTGGCTAATTCTGCTACATTTTTGATGTTAAAAGATACTTGGTTTCAGAGAATGGTTACTAACTGCTAAGGGGGTGAAGGAATTTTTTAGTGCATGAAAATTCTGTGTATCTTGACAATGGTTACACAGATAATTATATAGGTATGTAATGAATAAAAATTAATCAAGCTGTACACTTAAGATTTGTGCATTTTGTTTTATAAATTATGCCTCCATACAAAGGTATTCTTCTACTTCCAAAAATCTGGAATCACTATTCCCAGAATCCAGACCATGATGATTTATTCTCCATCTGGGGCCAATGGAAAAAAACAGGAATACCATAATGAATTTTTCATAAACTTGAATTTATATAACTTAAAGGAACATCATTTATTCTGAGAATACGTCTTACTTTTTTGGTGTCATTTATTCTGAGTACTGTTCCTGTTCTTTATAGTATTGCAATGTCATATTTTTAAGAAAGAAGTGAGATAACTTTGTTTTTTCTTGTTTTATTTGTGTAATTTTCTCTTGGTATCATTCAGTGTGACAATATCTTTACTTGACAAAAAGGTGGTAAAGTGCTCTTGTTTTTCTTTTCTTTTTGTGGTACAAGGGCCTTGAGATTTTTGTGGAACTCAGGGCCTTGAGGTTATTATGCACGTGCTCTACCACTTGAACTATGACTCCAGTCCTTTTGCTTTTTAATTTGTCTTTCAGGTAGGTCTCATGATTTTGCCTGGACTTGCCTCACACCATGATCCTCCCATCTCTGCCTCCTTAGCTGGGACTATAGGCATGTATCACCATGCCTGACATTGTGTTTTTTATTGTTTAAATTAATGAAAACATGTGCTTCAAACTTTTGAAGTGACTGTGCTGTTGGTCAGTTAAGTAAGCAAATGCAGTGTGGAGAGGAACCACTTTAAGATTTTAAAGTGTTAATTAATCACATAAGCATTTATGTACGTTTTTAAAAAGTAGACCATTTGCTAGCCATTACCTATTCTGTTTACAAGCAACACTTTTGCTTATTTAGACTCAGGATCCTCTTTTAAAAACTAGTGTCCACCTTTTCTTCCCATTAGGGGTACACAGCCCAAAGTCTGAGAAGCACTGGTTCAAAGGCCAGGGCAAGTCAACAGCACAGCAAGTAGGAGGGGCTGTGATGGTTGGGCTACTTCACATGGATCCTCTTAATTTTTTTTTTTTACTTAAAATAATGATATCAATTTTAGACACACTGACTTTTAAAAACTGACATTGTACGTATATAAGATCTTGTGAGCAAGCTCCTAGGATTCTACATAAGGCTATGATTAAAGTCTGTCATTGTTCTCAGTTTTTTTCTATGTTATTAAAATCTCTGTGGGTAGAGATTGGAAAGGGAAGTGGGAACTGTACATCAACCAGGTTCATGGAACAAGGACCATCCATCCAAAGTAGGAATGTTTTAATGATTTAGGGGAAGCAGAGTGGAGAGAAAGTATGTGCTTTGCTATGAAGGGGAAAAGCCAGTTTTCTCTTATATTCTAAGGACTGATTCATGCTCTGGGTTTAAGGATGAAGTAATACTATGACTGCGTAAGATGGATCGTTTTCATTTGTCTCATAGTAAATTGAGGTGAAGTGTTTCCCATATGCCACATGAGAATTCACTTTGAAAAGTTTGAGACATTTTCTATTCATTTTATACAGTAGGAAGATTCACGCTGGTTTCTGAGAGTTCATTTCCACTGCACAAATAAGTCACTAAGTACTGTCACCTCACTATGTTGGATGTTAGTGTCTGCATTGCCATGAATTAATTGCTAAAATTGTAATGGGAGACAGGAGGAGGCCAAGAAAACCTGAATCTTCCACTCTAGAGACTGGTAAAGTTCATGTGTTGCTACAGCAATCATGTGGGTTTGTAGCTTATCACCTTCATATTGGCAGCATTCCTACCTGATACCACAACTGTACTTAGATCTGCATGTGCTTGGAGCAGCTTCTGGATGGAGTACAGACAATAAAAATACACAGTGGGTAGGAAGCACTGTTGGTATTTGCATTTCTCTGTTCCAACCAACTCTGTTTTCTTCCTCGTTGCTCTCCCCTGTTCTATGGGTTAATATTTTAATGGAATTGTTGCAGACCTGGACAGTGAGTCTGGGGCCTAGGAGTTAAATGCATCTCAATATGGCTGTTTCAGTGATATTAATGATAGTGTTTCTCATTACCCCTAGCGTTTTCCTTGATGCAGGCAGATAGTTGAAAGTGATCTAAAGCATAACTTGATAAAATAAGGGAAGAGTAGAAAGAACTCATACAGTTGAACTTTTTTCTGGTGGCACTGGGGTTTGAACTCAGGGCCTCATACTTGCTAGGTAAGCGCTCTACTGTTTGAACCACTCCACCAGCCCAAACAAATAGTTCGTCTTTTTTTTTTGGTGGTACTGGGGTTTGAACTCAGGGCCTCATTCTTGGTAGGCAGGCGCTCTACACTTGAGCCACTCTGCTGATCCAATCATGTACAATTGAAATAGTAGCAGCTATGAGAGTGGGCCCAGTTAGTCATTAAAGGTTGGTATGGCATACTGTGTTTAGCTTATTGGTTCAAAGCTCTGCCCCCAAATCAGGGTGAGTCCTTCTCAATGAGCATGGAGGGCTGGGGATTGGGGCTTTGTGGTCACTAACATCTCTTGAGGGCCCATTAGAAGTGGGGACCTTGGGTCCCATTGCAGCCTTGCTGTATCAGAAGCTACACTTTAACAAGACTCTCCCCGCCACACCCCCTCTGAGACTCCTCAGCACAATTTTGAGAAGACCAGGTCTACGAAACTTCGTTCCTGTCATGTCACTTGTGAACAGACAAGCAGATGTGTCTATCTAGCTGCCTTTTGCAGTTTGGCAGTGTGGTTTGTTTAGCAAATGTTTTATGGCATGACTCCCTTCCAGGCAATGGTGGATGCTCAGAGTAGACTGAGGAACTGCATGATTTTGCACAAATGAATTAAGATGATGCAGTGTATAATCCATGGGATAAAAGTGCTTTCAGAGCCCCAAGATGCTGGCTAATTGAGAGAGGCGTTGAGGAATTAGTTAATTAGCACTTTGGACCTTTAACGTGAAAGGTGTCCTGTAGAATTAGAAGTTAATATTGACTATTTGGTCTAATTGCCTGTTTTGTTGCCACATATTTTCCCACTTTGCCTTAAAAAAATCCATATATTTGACTGTTAATCTTTCTATTGTTTTAATGCTAAACCTGCAACTGAAAATGTCTTGAATTGGCTTATCTTGTAGTATCTTTCAAATAGTGAGACCTTCCCAAATAAAGTGCTTCATCAAAAGTACACACATACACACTAGAATGTTCAGTCAGGTATCTCAGCAGAAAAGTTTATTACCTTATTTCCTTCACCCCTAAAAATGTAGCACCTCATGGCAGTTCTTGTTTGTGACAGAGTGATTCCAAGGAATTTGTGACTGTGCCAATCAGAGATAGCAAAATGTTTCTCTCTTTTAGAAATACAAGCAGTGACATCTCTTATATATTCACTATAGAGGAAAGGTCACTATTACATGAAACATTCTTTTTTTCTTTCTTTCTTTTAACAATTTAAAGTTCTTTTGTCATAAAGAAGGGTGGAATTCAGTAAGATTTCTGCAAATGAAAAAAGCCTATTTCAAGGGTAGGAATGTGGCTGTGTGAGAGAGCATTTGCCTAGCATGGGGTTTGGTCCCCAGTACCTCAAAAAAACAAAAAGCTTATTGCAGAAAGTTTTAAAAATTTTTCCTCTGTTTCTTGAGACCAATAACAGATGGAAAAGAAGGTATAAAGATATTGCTTATAATACTCAGACTTGGGATTATAGTTGTGTGTTTCAAAACTGATTCCAGAGATAATTTTTTGTGTGCGGCTAGTGAAATCTAACACATATACATCTGGATTTATGGGTTTATGAGCTAGGCTACTTAACTAGGTTGCTTAGAATATATTAAAAAGATTAACAATCAAATTTATTATTCTTTGAGATAATTTTTAATCTTTTGAAGAGTGATAAACAAAAGTATTTCAATGGCTATGGTCTCAATTTTTCCTAACCTTTGTGGAATCATTTTATTCTCAAAGGGACTAGATAAAAATCTATGAATGGTTGAACTGAAGTTTGTTACCACTGCCTTAAAGTACATGACTTACCAAGGTATAAGCATTATCTATTTATGAAGTGTTGCTAAATTTATTTCTTCACTTACTGAAACATATTTTGAGAACTTACTGTGTGTCACAGACTCTTTTAATTGTTGGGGATTAATGGTGAGAAAAGTCCATGTTCTCATAAAACATATTTTCTGATAGCAAAATCAGATATTATTCATTTGGGAAGATATATGGTTACTGTGTTAGGTGGTTTGAAAAGTAAGAGAATTGACTCTTAACCTTAAGAAAGTGATATTTAAACATTAATTTGAAAAATGAATCAGAGGTTATGTTATTTATTCTTGGCTTGCTTGTTTAAAAAAGCAAACACATGAAAGGAATGGTATGAAATACAATTTTGGGGGCAAACTTCGCCAGAGTTTCTTACTTTGAATGGTTTTGCTTTTGTCCAGGAGAAGCTGCGTGGGGTCAGAACTGGTTGACTGGCTTCTAGAACACTGTCCTTTTGTCCAGTGCAGATCTATGGCCATAGGGGTCTGGCAGCTCCTACTGGACATGGGAATTATGTCATCAGGTTGGTATTGTATGTTCTGAAGACACAGCATCGTTTTATTAAGTTACTAGACCAAAATATTTGATTTTTCTAGAGGACGTTACAATCTAGATGGAAACATTTTTGAGGATGTTTATTTTTATTCTTTTTTATTTTCACTTATTTCTCCCTCACCTTCTGTAAAAGTAATTAGGTACTTGTTGATTTATAAACTAATACCTGTAAAAGTCTTTCACTTCTCCTGTCTTTTCTCTATTCATGATGCTGCTCACAAACTTTTTTTTAAATCAGCAACATCTTTAGTTGCTCTAATTATGTGATTTATATTGCTGTACTTAGAGTAATCATCAGAAACTGATTTTATGAGTGGAATGTGTGTACGATTTTAATTGACTAAGCAATCTTGAACACTTAGAGATATGACCTATGCAGATTAGCTTGTTAAACAGGACAGAAAATAGATGCTAACTAGAAACTGAAATAGATGGTGGTATGTCTTTTCTTAGTTGAGCCTAGGGAATTGAAGAGGTAGAAGCCAAGTAATCTGGGTTCTTTATTTAGTTCAATCTCCCAAATGCTGGTTGGTTACCGAGAAGCCCTTTTTTCTATAGATGATAAATATTTAGGGCATACCCCTACTGCCATTTTGAAAGAATGGTACAGATTGGATATGTGGTTGTAATCTTCTTAGTCAATAATACCTTGCATCTAATACTCTATTTAGAAAATCAGTTAACTACCTTTGAGGATGGAGGTATTATTAGCTCACTTGTAGGTTCAGGCTTCTGGTTAGCAAAACATTTTGTGCTAATACTTTTTGGAAATTTCTCCAGCTTTTGATTCCTTTTAAATAAGAGTTTCCCAACCTTGGCAGTACTAATATTTTGAGTTGAACAGTTCTTTGTTGTGAGAGCTCTCCAGTACATTAATAGATGCTAGTAGCACCCCAGTCCCTACTATTACAACAAAAAATGTCTTTAAACATCACTAAATGTCCCTAAGGCAGGGCACAGTCACTGCCAGTGAGAACCACCAATCTTGCTAACTGAAACTTGCTATCATGTTATATTTGAAATTATTTTTAAGTTTGTTTTGAACACTAAAAAACATTTCTTGGCACCCTCTTTGAATCGGTATTGATTTCATTGGCACTTGTCTCTGAAGCAGAAAAATTACAAAATATATGTGAATATGCTGGCCAAATTTTCAAGTAATAAAAGTAGACTAGGTGGTAAATCTTTTTTAATTCAATGGGATTGTAAGAACGAATGCATGAGCTTAGAATGTATATGTACAGTGTTACCTCTGATGTCCCCCTAATAATGATTGTGCTTTCAATTTATTATTTGATTTATGACTTTCTAAAGAAACACACCTTTTTTTGTTTGTTTGTTTCAAACAGTGGACCAGCATCTATACTTTCAAGATACTTACGTTTTCTACCAGTTTTCATCTGATGAATGTAGCTACTTGTACTGTGAATTTGAAAGAGAAGAAGAATGGCAAAATGGTGTCAAGCTTTTGCTGCAACTTGTGCCTCTCATTCCTGCTAGAGCTGGCATCTGTGAACTGTAAGTAAATGCCACCTTGTGCCATTGTTAAACTATCCTTCCTTAGAGAACATGTTCTGTATCCTGGAACTGCTTGCTGCTCTATAAGATGACTATCTTGTTTAAGAGACAGTTGTACCAATCCCATTTTTCAGATACAAGTTCAGGAATATAGAATAAATTGCTGAACATTAAAGTCAGCTCCTAAATGACCAAACTGGTATTCAAATCCCAGGCATCCATCCTCACCAGCTGCACCATGCTGCTTCTAATTTACCGTCACTGTTTGAGTAGATGATCTAAATTAAGTGAAAATGTGATTGGGCTTAAGATGGAATGAAATAATAGTTCACATCTTCTCCACTATCCAAGTCGTGACTTTGCTAAGAAAGAGCTCAACCAAAATTTCTGAAAATAATCTAGAAGTAACATTTGGCAAATTAAAACGTGAATCATTATCACATGAAGATACTGAATCACTATATGATTAAAATTAATTGGAAGAGACTTGAGAACAGGAGTTGAGTCATGATATGGAGATTCTGACATGCCTTTGTTTATCCTTGGCGATAGTGACAATCTTATTTCAGAAATATGAGTTGTAGATTAAAATATTAGCTGAAAATTGTATATATGCAGAAAACTTCAGAATTCTATCTCATGTTGTTGACTGTCAGTTCTGTGATTTGAGCAAAGCAAGTGGAATTTTCCTTATTTCTTAGGTTAGAAAGTAGGTTCCATAAGAAACACTTGTCACCATAACAAAGATAAATTTCTCTTATTAGTTAGATAGCGACAATACTGAATAGTTTTAATAAGACTGTTCTTAGCAAAAGAAAAGTTTCAGAATATTAATGCAGCACGTGCTGATAGGTTGATTGTAGAAAATATATTTTATGTCAGGACTGTGCTAAGCAGATGGCTTACATTTCATATTTCACTTTCAGAAGGATTCCATAGACAGGTCTTATTATTATCCCTATTTTATAAATGTGGAAACCAAGACACAGAGGTCAAATGGCGAGTGGAGTCTTGGTGTTTGAATCTCTCTACCTAGCTTCTGCGCCTCTGCCTTTAACAGTTGTTATGGTATGTCCTCAGAAGTTACTGGGGTCATTCTTCATTCCCTTCTAAGAGATTATAAACAGAAGGTATGAAAGTGTTAGACTGAACTGTGAAAAACTTAGGGATTTCCCACCATCACTGTTTACAGAGGGGCTTGTAATGGTAAAGCAAAGTTCACATATCACTCAATTAGGCTGAGTATGGGAAGTGTTCTTTATTGCGGTATGTTCCTGATAGAGGTCAGAAGTGTCAACAAACGTTTCAATAAACTTTCATAAGTTTCCTAAGGAGTGACATGCTTCTAAAGTAAAGGTGGCTGTGACTGGCTTTGACTTGAAGAGGCTGCATTCCCTAGCAGTTCTTCTCAACCATTTCCTGTCACAAGATGGAGGTGTGCAATCCCATTGGTATACCTAGATTATTGGGGATAGGAGGGCAATCGACATGACCTTGTAAGCAGTCTTTTTTAATTCTTTTTAAAAATCTATATTTATTTATTTTATTCATTTATTCATATGTGCATACATTGTTTGGGCTGTAAGCAGTCTTGATGTTACTACCTTTTTCTTCTTCACCCAGGTAGCAAATTGGAATGCCAGTGGGCGAGTTGGTGTTGTTACAGGAAAATACTGAATTTACTCAAATTCTGAAAATGAAAATAATTTTAAAATTTGAACCCTACTGTTAGTTCCAGATGACTTGCAGTTGTTGGTCACACTGGTCACTATGGACATAAATGTCTGACTTTGGAATTGAGAATCACTGCAGCATGCCATGTTTACCAGCAAATATTTTCTGTTGCTGTGAACACGTGTGTTTGGGGGTGATTTCTGACTCCTACAAATCAATGGTCCCTGGGGACCTACAGACGTGTTTATTTTATTGTAAGTATTAAATAGTAAAAAAATAAAATTATTGAACCACCAAACATTTATTTTGGAGGGAAGAATGTTTAGAATTTTAAGTTAACTCTACACAATAATAGAATGTTCCCAACCAACTTTTGGAAAGCCAAACTCTGGTTTAACTAGACTTCAAACAACCTGTGGTTAGAGAAAAGACATTGTCCTCTTTCTGTTGAATTGTCAAAACCTTCTTATGGTTCCATACTTATGTTCCCATCATAACTCCTTCTCTGACCTGTCAATCAAATATTTTAGCCCTTATCCCACACTGGCCACTCCCCACTTTCGCTGGGATGCTCTTGCTCTCTTCAGTTCTTTCTTTCTTTGTTAGTTAAATTCTACCCAACCCTCAAGAGGGAGCCCAAGTCCTGCCTTGAACACAAAACTTCCATGATGTCCCTGGTCTTGCTTTTGATAACTTACTGCTTTTGCTGTTTGTGTTTTTTTTAAATCTATTCTTCTTTGTCATTCTTAGTCTTGTGTTGTTTCATTTTTATCCATTCTGCTGAGATGTTCTCTGAAGTCCTCTTGATTCTTATGTTGTCTGTTTGAGCTGAAAACTCCATCTTATAGTCCTTTTAATAACCTTTTTGATATTTGAAAACTACTAAGATCTATAGACATGGTTCCACATTAGCTTCATTTAATTTGATATTTTCTGAGTTTTTAAAAAAAATACTTGAAGAGAACCACTTCATATCTCCATATATACCCAATTCTGTTCTGTACAAATGCATTTTTAAAAAAGAATAAAAAGCCAAGAGGATTTTGTCATTTAAAAAGGGAATGTTTAAAGCATGAGGAGAGATGAGCTGCTGCAGGTTTCCAGGCTAGTTTGAGACAACAAATAGGCTATAACTTTCATACCCAAACTGAATAGATAACTTGAAAGGAGTGAATTGATTGCCAAAGGTACTATCTCAGGAAGAGAGATCAGTCATGGTACCTCTTTCAAACTGAAAGCTAAATCAAATTACCCAGAATGTAATTTTTTTTTTCTAACTTTCCTTATTTATTTTGGGTGGGAGGAGGGGAGAGAATCGATGGAGAATGATGAAATAACATCATAGAGGAAGGCAGCCTATTAATTCCTTCAGGACTAGTAAGATGTTTCTTCTTAACAAGAACTTGCTTGAGAATTTAGGCTTGGGGAAGCATGACTATTACAATTCAATTGTCATTACAGCAGCTTTCCAGAGGTGGGAGGGGTCCGGCTCAGAATAGACAATCTATGAACCTTGGATACATAAAACTATATCCTTCCAATTACAATAACAATTACATTGTTATTAAAAGACTTGTAGAAGGTTGCTAAAATTTAATTCATGTTACACACAAATATGTAAAGGAAAATGTAGCTTCTTTTGTTTTTGCTATGGGCTCTGGTGTTTACTATCTACCTGTGATTCCATTCATTTGGGTAGCCAGAGAGAGGGAAAAGAAGTCCCTAATTTTAGTCTAATCTAGTAACATTATTCTACAAGTGATTTAAAAAAATCCCTTTTGAACTGTTTGGCATGTTTTTGAAAAAGAGCTCAGTTTGTCTGCACTTTCTTGGCTCCTTGACAAGAGAGCCTCGGAGTTTGAGGTTGGTGCTGTGGGCCCCTTGGCCACAGAGGAAACTTGAGATGCTGTTGTGTCAGAGGACACTTTCTTCATGGAAAGCATCTGTGTCATGAGTACAAGTATACCATATTGCAAATGCAGTGGTTGACTTTCAGCCCTCTTCATGATATGTCAGCATCATTTGGCACAACTGCTTGTGCTTTCTGGAAGCAGTTTTTTTCACATGGCTCCTAGAATAACATCTGTTGGCCTCTCTATATCAGGCTCCTTACTACTTCTTCTTGACATATGACCATGTGTCTCAGTGGTGTGTTATCTGGGCCTTGCTGACCCTGCAGGGACTGCCCATCCAAGGACTAGTCAGTTCCTAGAAGCAGTGAAGAATGTACCTGTGAGCACGCTATTCTTACTCATATGCAAACCAACCAATGCAGAACCTATATTCCAACCACCTCTTCTATGGGGCTTTCATTCTCTAGGCTATTTTTCACCTATCCTAGATACCTCACTGTGCCCCAGGACCTGGTGAAATTATTCAAAGTAGCCAGTCCTCAGCTTGTGTATCCTGCTTCACCCATTACTTCCTGTGGGAACTACAAAAAAAAAAAAAGTCTTGCCCATGTTTTCCCTCATCTCTGCATCTTCACTGACCCTGATGCTTCCCTTTGTGGCACTTTACCAGGTGGCATGTCCTCTCCTCTTGGAAACTGTGAGTAACAAACTGTCTTTTCAGTGGCATTGGTCCTTGGATCTATTGGCCTTTGATTATTCAGTTTGGTCATACCTGAATAATGATAAAACCTACATTTTGAAATACTGACCTCTAAACATGTAGTGTCTCAGAGTTCAGTCTTTGGTCTCCTCTGCTTTTTTTACTCTCACTCTGTATGTGCCCCCACCCAGTCATGTATGTAGTATTTATTTCTTATTTGTTTATTTTTTTGGTGGTCTGGGGTTTAAACTCAGGGCCTCACACTTGCTAGGCAGACACTCTACCACTTGTGTCATGCCCCCCACCCTTACAATCAGCTTTATAGTGATAACTCCTCAAATTCAGGTCCCTGGCTTTCCTTCGCTCCCTATATAACATAGCACTATCCCTATACCCTAGGACCCTCTGACCTCTGCTCCCTTCAGTCTCCTATCCTGACTAACTTTTCCGTTTTCTACTTGACGTGTATAAGCAGCATGAGACTCCATTGACAGCCTTAGTTCCTGAAAGGTGTTAGATTCACATCCTCAGACCTGGGAGCTCAAGTTCAGGTCTGCCATTCCTTTGTCCCAAACCTACCTTTTGTACTTCTAACTTTTCCTATTTAGATTTTCATGATACTTGGAGAGGAAGCAATACTATGTAGATAAAAAATTATTTTTGAGTACTTAAAATTTTTTCATAGTAGAACTTGGCATATTTTGTATTTAGATCATAGGTGAAGAAAGTTTCCATTTATCTCCATTTTTATAAAAATGTTATATAAACAGGAGTTTCCTTCTCCCAAGGAAACAGAGTCCTCTAAATTTTCCATCATTTGTAGACAATGTTTATTCCAGGTGTGGGAACAGATTGCTTATCTTTATCAGAGCACATCTGTATTTAAGAGTAGCACAGGAATTCTAGCAAAAAATTAAACCTTCAGGCTTGGTTGTATTGGCAGTTGAGATGCAGATATTTAATTAAATATTAAGCACTCAGCTTCAAATCCTCAAAATAAAATGTGAAAAAGAGATACCAGGAATATCTGATTTTATTCCATTTTAGATTAATGCACAAGTGTGTGCACAGAGCCTTTAAGGAAGCCTGTTTCATTCACAACTTACTACTGTTTGGTTAATTTCTTCTACCAGCATAACTAGTGGCCTGATGCTATGAAAAATTATCTTCTGTCAAGAATGTGGACGGGTGTTGTATTCATGATACCGAGATCTTGAGAAAAATAATAATTCTTATTTTTCTACCATGTTACTTTTCCTTTTTTTTCATGGGAATTTGCCTTGTTAAGCAAAATGGACCTCTCCAGAATCTTGGGGCTATGGGTGGGGAAAGGGGAAGATGTTGCTCTGTGGGCCCAAACTTCCAGTTATAGTTTGAGCAAGTTCCGGGTATCTAATTTGCAACATGGATGGTGATGCTAATTATTACAGAGTGTGTATGGAAATCAAATCATCACAGTACGCACCTTGAATATATGGTCTATTAATTAAATATTTGAATAAAAGAAGATTTTGGCTTCTTTTGAGTGAGATGGGGGTCACTCAAGGATTTTGAACAAAGGAAGGACATGTTCTATTTTACATTTTATCACAAGACCAATTCAGCTCCTGGGTTTATGTGCTCAGGACCACAGTAATGATGGAGGTGGTAGGTGGGAGATAGACCTTGGAGGAAGAAGTAGGATTTTAGGATGAATACAATATGGAATGTGTGTGGGGGTCAATATGACTTCCATCTGGAGAGATGGAGGTGCCATCAGTTAAGGTAGGAAGGGCAAGGCCTTATGTTACTTTCTTTTTGGGTAAGAGTGGGTAGGATGATGATGTGCTCAGTTTGTTGGTTGAAAAGACATGGGCGGAGGAGCATAGGCTTTTGCCATCCCTGTATCCTTGACAATGGTACCCTCAGGCATTAAACCTCACAAACCTATCTGCCTCCAACACTGGGACTCGGCACTTTCCCTTGGAGAATTACAGGTCTGGTGTGGACTGCTGACTAGAATTCTTGAGAAGTCACTAGGGAAATTCCTAAAGGGAAGCAGCTGTTAGTCCAGAGCTTCCTGCTGGCACTAATATTGAGAGCTGAGTCTTCCTTCTTGGAGCCACTCCTTTCTCTTCTCTTTCTGTGTCACTTGTCATTGTCATTGCCTACTGATTCCAGCCAGTTTCCTTGTTTCCCTCCTCTAGCCTCTGACAAACCAGACCCACAGTTTCTCTCTTCTCTCTTCCTCTCTTGTACACTGAGCACACAGCCCCTTTTGGTAATAATGGAAGATATGCAAATATTACACTTGATGCTTTTCTGCCCCATCGCCTCATTACCTACTTTGATCTATTAAGTGAGAACTCTGACTTTCCTGGGTTTTACTGATGTGTATTTGCATACATAAAATCAGAATTTATTTTCATTTTGTAAAAATATTTTTTTCTGGGGAAAGCATATCTTATATTTCTGGAAATTTTGATATAGAGCTGGGGAGGGGGTTTAAGGCCCCACAGTGATGATAACAGGAAAGGAGAGGGGCCAGTGTTGCCCTTCCCCCATCTTCCCTTTTCAAGCTCTTCACTGTTGGCTGTGATTCCCAGTCCTACTCCCCAGGCTTCTTTATGCCCTGTGAGCTGCAGACGGGTGCTGGTGCAAGGGGCCCTGGGGCCAATTAGCAGGGAAGGATGGGTATTTCTGAATTTAAGCTCCCAGTAGGCAGCAGGGATAATCCCTGAAGGTTAGAAATCTGGAAATAGCACGCTCAGATCTGAGGTTTGGAAAGGTAATCCTGGTGTGTAAAGGAGACTGGACAGAAGATGAGAGACCAGAGTCAAACAGGTGGGGGAAGGTGGTTAAAATCATGCATTTTAGAGAAATTGAGGACCTGGACTGTCAGCAACCCTTGGCAAGGAGGGATCAAAGGGAAGCAGAGTTTGAAGGGAAGGGAGCGACCTGATGCCAGTCCAAGGGTGGAAGGGCACAGGAGGGAGGGATGGCCAGAGTGACTAGGACACCATGAGGTGTGAGTGGCAGGGTTGAGGCCATGAGGGCAGGAGGTGAGAGGAGTCATTCTGAGTTAGGTTCAGTTCACAGAGCCTATAAGATCCACACATGGGTGAAAACAAAGTGCCTAGATTTGCTACCCAGAGCCACTTGGAAAGCAGAAGGACAAACAAGGAGGGCTCAGCAGGATTCAGAAGTTGGAGAAGGACTTGGGAGTACTGGGCATTAATCTGTAAGTCATGCTGACGGAGGTGGTAAAAGTGGGATGTGACTGCAGATGGCTCCTGGGAGACCATCACTTACTCTCTCACACATTCTTCCTTTAGAAATGTTTTTGCCAAGGCATGTTTTATGCTGGAAGAATGATGAAAGATAGTTTTGCTTCTGAACAGGGACTGCTTGTGAAATAACCATCACCACTCATGAGCTTCCCTTGGAGTCTTGAGTTCCTTTAAGCAGCTTACTGAAAATGGATTCACAACAGAATGTGTGCTAGCCCAAAATGCCTCATGCCCATTAACTAATCCTTCAGGTATCCGTTGGGGTCCAAGGAGCATGAAAAGCCTGGAGACAGAGAGGAAGCCACAGAAGCCCTTGGTTGGTACTCTCTGGTGCGCTTGACTCTAATTTCCTGTCAGATCTGTTCAGTCACTTTAGCTTAATCATATATAAGCCTGGCTTGGCGGCTTAGGTTATAAAGGGTTTCAAATCTCTCTTCAGTATAACCGCCTTTATGTAGTAACCTTGTGAATAGAGAATTTTAATAATAAACCTTGTTTTTTGAAATATTCATTATCCAGACAGTTTTTTTAATATGCTAAATTATAATGCTCAGTTCCCACTGTTTTATTGGGTGGATTGCTAGCAGGCATTTCAAACACTGGGCTGCTGCAGAAGCAATTAAGGTATTTGACAACCTGAGTGCGCTTCGTATCTGCATCTTGCAATTCTTGTGAAGGCAGTGGCTTGCAATTCTTGTGAAGGCAGTGGCTTGCAATTCATTGCTGTGATTTGAAGGGTGTGACTCTTTTTCTGAAAAGGGGTTTAATAACATTTACAGAAGCCAGAAGCCATAGCCAGAATTGATTGAGTAGCTTTTCCCTTCTTAGAGAGTCACTGCCCTGCTCTGCTGGGAGCTGGGAGAAGCCCTCCTGCCCTGCAAGGCTGATGCTCCAGCTGGCCCACTGCAGCTCTGAGATTGGGATCAATCATCAGACTGCAATTCTGATAATGTGGTTCTGCAGAGCAATTACCACAAGTCCCTCCATGCCCACAGAACGTGTGCAAAGGGATTGGTTGTGGAAATAGATCTAGGAGACAGTTTTATGTATTCAGTTGGCATTAGTCAGTATTTTTTTCTTTGACCAAGCCAGGAAAAAACTTTAACTTTCTTAAGTAGAACATTTTATGTTATTATACAATTGTGTGGTGAAAATTTTTTCATGAGTTAAGTTGAAAAGGTGATTTTTTTCCCTAAACAAACAAGATGATCTTACATCATTATGTCTCTTTAGTTTTTTCACTTATGCATAGTTCTTCGACATCTCAACTGGGCCGTGGCTTTCTAAGAAATCAAAGTTCTTTTGCCTTTTGTATTCCTTTTATTCCCACCATGATATTAGGCTTAAAATATATCATTTCATAGTAAATTTGTCTGAGCTGAAACTCAAGTGTAGTGGAAAATTCACATTTCATAGTTTTAAAATTTGAATCTTATATAGCTTTAGAGAGAATTTCAGCACATAACTACCTTGTAGTCACATCTACTTTGTGCGTGACCATAGACGTACACTAGGTTTGTCAGGGTTGTTCTGTGATATCCTTTGGAGAATAACATGTGACCCTCAGGAGTTAGGTGGTGCACTGGAAAGAGGTTCTTGCTAATTGATCTGAAGGAGCAGTTGGCTTGCAACAGTATTTGTTTCTATGGCTTTCCTGACACAGTGTTATTTGCATACTTTCAATCCTAATATCATAATGACATTGTCATTTTCTTGCCCTTTATTTCCTGTAACTTGGTAGATATATTTGAGCAACCAAAGCTGAAGAGTAATTTTTTTTGTTTGTTTTTTCAAAGGTCTCATCAGAAAATTGAAGACTCTGAAGAAAGCAGTGATGAAATTCTTGCTCGTCTAACGTCTGCGGTAAGACAACAACATTCCCCTGCCTAGAGGGGCAGAAATAATGAGGCCGGGGAGGCGGTTTGGGTAGTGGTATAGACAGGTCTGCTGTGGCTGCTCATTACTGTGGAAGTTCCAACACAAGGCGGAGGGAGACCATGAATTTTGACTTTCTGTACCCTGTAAGATCTAGATATGTCTGGTGGAAAGTTCCTACAGCCTTCACAGAGGCAGAGTTACCTGATCATTTAAATCTAGTATGATTTACCCTAGGAAAAAATGTAACCTGCTGTGCAAAGGAGAAGAGATTCTGTGTTTCATTACGAAAAAAAGAATCACTTCAGCCAAAAAAGGCCAGGGCATTGGTTTTTTTAATGTACCATATTGCAACATTTTCATTGTGTGTGTGTGTGTTTTTTTTTTAGGGCACTGATCAGACTTGTTAATGGGTTTGTTGGTTGAAGGAAAGTTCATGCCTTTCTTTTTAGCACAGTTTGGCCATAGTAGCTCATTGAGCTTGTTTTTGACTGGCTCTGGAAGTTCTGTATTGCAGAATCTCTTGTCCGTGGGAAGCCTTTCTAGCCTTCCCAAAGATCTTTTTGTTTTGCTTCAACTTTATTAATAAGATGATAATTGTAGAAAGTCATGCTTGATTGGGTTAACGTGTGTGGATAAAACTGCACTGTGCTATGTACTGGGCTTGTCACCTGGGCACAGTTTGAAGGATGAAAGCTGTCTTTCTGACTCCTTCAAAATGCAGCTTAGAAAAGTCATTTTTGACTAAATATGGTGATAAGTGATAAAACTTAATGAAAAATGAAATCCTGACAGTATGCTGTGGAAAAAATATTTAGCATGACCTGTGTAGTTTATTTACCAGAGAGGAATGCTTATTGTATAAAAAAGATCATAATTATTGGGGTACTGGTAGCTCCCGCCTGTTATCTACTTGAGAGGCTAAGATTGGGAAGATAAAGATTTGAGGCCAACCCGGGCAAAAAAGCTCTCGAGAACCCATCTCAACAGAAAAAAGCTGGGTGTGATGGTGAATGCCTGTCATCCGTGGGATCAGCGACAACGTGAAGCTTAAAATTGATGGACTGCAGCCCAGGCAAAAAGTGAGACCCTATCTCCAAAAAAAAGAGTAAAAAGGACTGGAGGCATGGCTTAGTCATCAGTAGCGCACCTGCATAGCAAGTGGGAAACCTGGAGTTCAAATCCCAGTACTGCCAAAAAAAAAAAAAAAAAACTCAATAATTGTCATATTAAAAAATCACCCACTATGGGGGATGTACTGTTAAATATCCTGTGTGTGTGTGTACATACGTGTACACTCTGACAAAATGCATAACAGCATAGTGAAATATCTGGCGTTACATCTGGGTCATAGATGTGAAAGTTTGCAGAAGTTAGCTAATTTTACCTGGCTAGATAGAACAGAACTAGAATCTGAACACAGAATTTTTTTTTTTTTTACTTCCTATCATGTTCTCTTAACAGTTATGCCTCAGTGTTTCACAGTGTAATGTAATTATTGGAATAGTTCCAAAAATGACAAAGACATGTAAGATTTGGTAAAGGTCAAGACAGGTATCTTCAGCTGGCTAGCAATTGAACACCAGAAAAAGTGATGTCTGGGGTAGTAAATTTAAGAATAGTAACAGAAAGCTTTGTTGAGGAAGTGGGTGATAACTAGGAGGCTGTATATTCTAGCTGTGGGATTTATTGTGGGCAGCTGTAGGAATAAGAAGGTACAGTTGGAAAATAGTGAGCAAGCCTACCTGGTTAGAGGAGAAGGTCCTACATAAGAAAGTGGAAAATTTTTCTTAACAGATTAACATGAAATAGATGTTTAAGACAGAGAAGATGAATTGGAGGTAGGGAGACTGAGAGGCTGATGAGAAAGCCCAACTTAGGTGAATTTTGTGGGAACCAAAAGAAGGATGGGATTTAAAAATAAGATCACAAATAGCTTGGCACTGGTGGCTTACATCTGTAATCCTAGCTACTTGGGAGGCTGAGATTTGGAGGACTGAGGTTGGAGGCCAGCCTGGGCAAATAGTTCACAAGACCCCATATCCAAGATAACCAGAGCAAAATGGACTGGAGGTGTGGCTCAGGTGGGTAGAGCACCTACTTTGCAAGTGTGAAGCCCTGAGTTCAAACCCTAATTCCACACACACAAAAAAAAAGGTTGAGCAAAATGTATGGAAAGAGCTTGTGGAGATAACAGCTCGAAAGTATTCAAGAAAGACCTGGAGACATGAGTGTGGGTTTCAGAGGTTAGGGCTAAAGTGTGGGAACCAGTCACAGAGACATTGCAAAGGGAAGAGCAGAGGAGACAGTGGTGTCTTGGGAGCACCCATAGTAAGAGGCAGAGGGGAGAGGAAGTGGAAACAACTGAATGGTTTTTGCCTTGAAAGTCAAATTCAGGAAAGTTAGTTAGTTTACTACAGACTTAGTTGAGGTAATCTTACTGGAAGACTCCCCAGCTGAAAGACTGAATAAATTGAGGTAAGGAGCTGGAGTGGTATTTAGGGATGAAAATAAAGTGAGGAGAACATGCCATCTTTTCCACTGATGTTTGATCAGCCAGCAAAAGTGAAAAACAAAAACCAAAACCCCACCCAGAGACGGAGGACCTTGAGTCTTGTTTTTTCCAACAGCGCAGCTGTTGGCCACGTTGAGCGGTTAGACTAGACAATCTCAAAGGTCCCTTTAAGATCTAAGATTCCATTGTTCATTTCATAAGCGTTTATTCAGGAACTGCTGCGCTGTGTTCAGCTCTTCAGAACGTGCTTGTTCCTATTGCCAGTGCTAGATAAACTTTAAGTCATCCAGGTGCCTGCCACATGCAAGAGGGAAGGCAGCTGTGTGCATCTCTCCAGTAAGCAGTTCTTGTCTACCAGGACCACTAAAGCCAATAGAGGAAAGCAGGAGCAGCATCTGGAATGTGTAGTTGTTAGCCTGCTCTCTCCTCTCTGAGGGTTTGTGTGTTTTGAGGGGATCGGAACGGGGCTGGTTGTTTCCAGCAGTGCACTTCGCTGTGCCCTCTTGTATGCTCACCCCTTCTTGTTCAAATTTGGGAGCTTTGTGTATATCCTTTTTTAAAAAATCTTCATTTTCTTAATTCTAATAGTTATTAGACTATTAGTAGGGACTATTTCCTAGTCCCTCCACTCTTAAATTCCTTAGGGGAAAAGGTCCTATCTTCTAAAACAATACATGAAATTGCACACTGGAAGAAAATTCAAGTGAATTTTCATATTAAAGGAACATGAAGGGAGATAGAGCATGAGTATAAAAAGGTATCTTTATAGTTCAGATTTAGAGCTGTTAAGTTTATACAAATATGAAGGATTTTTTTTTTTTTTTCGGTATTGGGGTTTGAAATCAGGGCCTATATCTTGAGCCACTCCACTAGCCCCTCTTTGTGATTGTTTTTTTGAGATAGGATCTCTTGTACTATTTGCCTGGGCTGGCTTCTAACCATGATCCTCCTGATCTCTGTCTCCTAAATAGCTAGGATTACTGGCTCCTACTGGTGCTCGGCAAACATGAAGGATTTAAATATTCAGTCATGTTTCTAGCAATTTTCAGGAAAAGTGGTCCCCCTGAGTGCCTGACATAAAAAACTTAGGTAGTAGTCAAAACTGTAAGGAAGGAGACAGGGCTGTAAAGTTTATATAAACGCTCTGGGGATTATTATTTGGAAACAGATTACCTTAGCCCATCGTACATACAATTTCTCCCTTAGCACCTTAGCCTCCTTTCTCATATCTGGTCTTTTTCTTAACTTGAAAACCTCTTTTTTCCTTGACCTCGAGTTTCTGGTGGTCCATTAAAGCTACTTGACTAAGGAGGGCCTTTGAATCTCCCAGCCTATTCATTCCCGTTTTTGAATTTATGAGTATCAATTCTCCCAATGCTCATGACAGATAGTGTTCAGAATTGATTGGGCAACTTTTATATACCATAGACCCTTGGTATCCATGGGTGTGTGGTTCCAAAGAGACCATAACTGAGGAAAAACCATGAATGCTCAAGATGTGGTACTGCAGAAGCTTGATTCATCTTCCCCATAACACTGTCCAACTTCCGCTTAAAGACATACCACCTTTCAACAAGTCTCTAATTTTTGCTTTATTACTTAAATCAAGAAGTATTCACTTTTACCTTGTTTTTTGGGGCACCATTTGCTTTTTAGGAGGCATATTTTCACAAAATTAAGGGCAGGGAAATACTCAGCTCATCACACAATGATTTGAACACAACTGATAACGCAGGACTGGCTGAGAGCTTCTTTACATCCACCGAGCTGCATAATGCTCATAGGAATTTAGATTTTTTATTTTTGAAATTCTTTTGACTTTTAAAAATTTATTATTTTTTTAAACCACACTCATATGAAACCACATGTAATAAATCTGTAAATAAGGTGGGCTTACTGTATTCATATTACAACTTAGGAATGCTACTTGCTCAAAACTAAGGTAAATATTGGGAAAATTGTATGGTGAATTATAGATTACTTTCAGAATTAGAGTTCTTAAGTATGTAAATTTAGGAAGTAAGCTAAAGTATTTGTAAATATTCGGAAAGTGTCCAAAGAGAGGAAATGGAAACATGAATATCTCATGTGTACTTAAAGTCAACACCCAAAACAGACCTGTTAGGTTGTTAGGTTATTTCTGTTTCTTTAGGCTGTTTTCATGATGAAGATTGTAGAAAAACAAAGCACAGACATTTTATCTGCACTTGAGTGAAATTCGTTTGTTAGACCCCTGAGATGATGCATATTAGCTAAGTTGTGCATCATGTGCATTTGATGCCCATCTAGTTGGGTGGCTACATGAGGAGCATTAAGCAAGGGACCAGGCACATGGTATGTTTTCTGTACTGTTTGGTCCAATGAAGCCATCCATCACTTGGCTAGTGAAAGATAACAAAACCTTAATTCTGGTGCTGGTGGGGAGTTTATGACCACATTTTGAAAGAGGAATTAAAATGACAAAAGTGTCTTT